TTTTTGTAGCTCTGGCTGACCTTGAACATATGAGCCTCTTGCCCCAATTTCTTGAGTTCGGGAATTGCTGGCCTGTACCATCATGCCTGGCTAATACCAGGCTATAGTAAAGCTTGCATTTATTACCTGATTTTTGAGGAGGGGGAATTGCATGCTATCACTGATTCTTAAAACCTAAGTAGGAGCCTTGAGAATTATATAGCAACTCACTCCTAAGATTTTAAGGAGGGACAATTGGAGGTTTGTTTATTCATTCATTGGTTCTTCATTCACTCAGACTTTGGAGGATAGCTTTGTCCTCGCAGTGCACAATTAACAGTTTGTCAGAAGGCAAAACAGGTAGCTTGGGATAAAGAAGAGCTAAAAGCATGAGACTGACTGAGTTTGTAATGAACAGAGTGTCATTGGAAAAAAAATCACATTTTTCAGCAGCAGAGATGTGAAGAAGGTGAAAGAACGTGCTGTGTAAGAGAGTGAACCAGAAGGACTAGCTAGTGCACCAGCTAGTTGGTACTCTTCAGGGACTGGTAGGAAGGCACCGTGGCTTCTCGATGAGGTGGGTAGTGAAAATCCATTGAGTGAGGAGGCATTGAGAGTAGGTTAAGTTATGTGATGAGGTCTTGTGAAAGGTAGCGCGGGCACTGAGCGCCACATGGATGAGATGGGGAGAGTGGTGTGATGAAGGGTGTTGAATAGAATAATATGACCGAACTTTTTAAATTGAATCATTCTTACTTTTCTGGTGAGAGGTGCTGGGTAGTATTGTCAGATTTGACAGAGATATAGGATACTGTCTTAACTTATCTTCTGGTTGCTGTGATAAAATACCCTGGCAAAAGCAAGTTAAGTGGAGAAAGTGTTTATTGTAGCTCACAGTTAAAGGTACAGACCATCATGGAAGGCAAGCAGGGCAAGGGGAGCGGGGAAAATGTTGGCCACATCCCATCCGCAATCATGAAGCAGAGGTGAGGAAGGCATGCTGTGCTCATCTTTCTCCTTGTTTGCAATGTAGGATCCCAGCCAAGGAATGATGCCACCTCAGATAATACAGGCAAGATAATCCACCCACAGGCGTGCTCAGAAGCCTAGCTTCCTGGTTATTCTAATTGTATCAAGTTTTTAATTAGCATCAGCCATTACAGATACCCATTGAAATTTGAAGTTTATGTAAACCGAATAATTTTGTATACAAGATGTTCACTATCTTAAAAATTCATTTAAAGCTTTTCATGTTGGCCCGTACATATGATTCCAGCACTCGGTGCTAGCACTCAGGAGGATGGGATAAGAGGAGTGAGAGTTCTAGGCCAGTCTGTCTCTTTCTTCCTGTTCATCTTATACCTTAGATTCATGCAAGCACTTTGACTATCCTCGTCTGATTACTGGTTCATCAGGGCTCATGGGATGGAACAGGAATCTCCATGACTGTCTCTTGTTCCATGTTCTGTGTGAACACAACATCCAAAGGCACAGACTCCTATGGCATTTTCCATTTTATTTGGAGAAATGCAATAAACAGGGTGCAGTGTTGACTACACACACACACACACACACACACACACACAAGAAAGAAAAACTTGGAAAGAGACTAGGAAATTCAAGTGTAGTGGAGAAGGTATATAATTTTAGGGTGGCCAGTGAAGATCATGTTTAATGCATGAAGGGAGATAGGGGGAGATGAGGTTGAGGGCTGGATGGTAGAGGACTGAGGTCCAGGGTTTCGGGCAGTAGTAGCAGCTGTGAAAATCCTTAGGTTGAAGTGTGCCTTAAATGTTTAAGAAACTGCAGAGGGAATATCCCTGAGGGAAGTCAATGAGAAAAGATACATGGCTGATGCCTATATATATATATATACACACACACATACATACATACATACATACATACATACATACATATATATATTTAACTTTTAGGCTTTGCGATAAGATGGAGAAAGAGTTGAATCCTGGGCCTAACTGTGACTTCGTTTCTGGGTCTCAGTTTTGTTGTCAGTTTCTTTTTAAAAAGTTTGTTGTGAACATTTGTTTGTGTGTGTGCTAGAGATGTGCATGCATGTGTGGACACGAGAACATTTTTGGGAGTTGATTTTCTCCCTCTGTCTGTTCTGCGGATAAGCTCAGGCGGTCAGGCTTGACTGCAGCCCTTTCCCCTGAGCCCTCCTGCCAGCGCAGCAGTAACTTCTCGGTTTGTTTCTGCTCTAAAATAACGTTTCAAACTAGAAATGGGTCCTTTTGCTGCTGTTGATTTTGCTTTTTCAGCTCTCTCACAAGCAATGAGTTTGTCATTTGACTCTTTTGTACTTTCCAGGAGGCTCTCTAGCTGTGCTCCCACCTGTCAGGCGAGCCTCTTCCTTCAGGGTGCCCTTGTTCCTTGTCTTTCTTGACTGAACTTGGAGATTTAGATGTCCCTTTGACAAGCAATAGGAAACTGTTCTCTGTCCTTTGCTCAACCGTTAGTTCTCCTGACAGTCAGATTCTTATTTAATCCCAGCTAACAGAGCCAGGAAACATGCTTCTTTCTAGTAAGAGACTGGGATTCTTTTGAGTGACAGCTTGACTTAAAGATAGGCAGAGAGACAAGAGGCTTGGCTGAACTCCAAATTGAATAATACCAATTACCAGGCTAAGATCACGTTGAATGTAATATGCTGGGAATCATGGGAATCTTAGTGGGCTGTATCTGTGGAAAGGACAAGCTTAAGGCAAGTCTGAAAGGAATATTTACTTAGAATAATTGTGTGGGAGTGCGCTAAGACGTTGTTTTGATGGCTTCTATTAGTAGACAAGAGGGATGGAAGGGGCATGTCAGAAGCCTTACAATCTGCATGGTAGATCCTGCTGCAAGAACAAAGCAGTAGCTAAATTGTTGTTACCGCCTTTGAAATCCAGCACAAAAAATAGGACATGTAGGCTCTCAAATTGCAGCTTTCATGTGGTAGTAATAAAACAGTATAATCACTCCGCGTAATTCTGTCACCTTTTACAGCTTTCACAGGTTGGTATGTATATATTATAATGGAGCAATCCAAAAATCTAAATGATATCTCAGGGTTTGCTTTATTTTATGTTATCTGCTAGGTTTTGAGATCTGCAGGAGACTCAGAAAAAGAATATATTGTTAGATGACAGTGTATTTAGCTAAGTTTATGATGATAAAGGGGACAATTATAATACTTAAGTTTGCAGTTGCTTTTGCTAATAGTAATTTTATTTGCTGTATATTTCTAAGGTGTTTGTGGTGATTGTTTCTTTTGATTCTGGCTAAAATTAAAGATAAAGGAAAAAAAACCCTAATTGAAGCTTTCTTGACTAAGTATAATTATTCTGATAATAAGGGCGTGGAAAAATATTTTGAGATGTAGATGAACACTGCTTCATACATTTATTCTGTAACCTACCTTGTTTATATATTTCCCTATAGAATAGAATTGTCTTGGAATTTAAATTTTAAATTTAAATTAAAGACTATTTAGATATTAAAAATAGAAGCCTACCTAACAACTGTCATAGTTAGCTTCAGTTGCCAAGTTGACATACCTGGGAAAGAAGGATGTCAGGTGAGGAATTGTCTTCATTGCTTGGCCTGTGGGCATGTCCATGGAGGCATTTTCTTGATGGCTGTTTGATACGGGGGGTGTGTGGGAAAAACAACCTTACATTTTGTGAGATTCATTATTTTGTAGTTTTTTAGTCCTTAATGTTGTCACAGAAACAGTCCTACAATGAGATAATATTAGAAGAAGTTTAAATATTTCTGTCAATGGCCCCACTTAACATTTGTTATTCAAAATAAATTTAATTCCATTGTAGTCCTACTAAGTTCTCCTGTTGGTTAAAGGTAGCAGAATTTCTCAGTAATGGTCTCTTTTTTACATTAGCTACCTCAGGGCATCCAAACTAAATTTTATACATAATCATCTTATTAAAAGTAAAATACTTTTTTTTTGCTTCCTTATTTTAAGTTAGGCTAGAATTTCAATATAGACACACATCAGTCTCCTCTCTTCACACTCCGGGGTCTAAGTCTCGAAGTATCTTCTTAAGACTGCAAATTGAATCAGTGTAAGATTAGGGATGTAAATGCCGAATTTATCTTGTTTTGTATATTAACAGAATCAGATGATGAAGGTTGAAAAGTAATTGTATGTCTGAAAACAGGTATTATCGAAGATTTAGGGTTGTTTCAGTTTCTTGAATTTCTTGTTATTGAGAGGTTATGAGTTGTCTTGCTAGAGTTTGGGGATAGTAGGAGGAGAACTGTAAGACTCAGTGAGCTACAGTTAGTATTAGCATACTTACATTGATGGTAAAAACCAACAAAGATAGATTTGGAGATGGAGAGAAAGAAAATGTATTTACAAGCAGCAATTAGTTTTCCATTTCTTGACAAAGTTGCTGATTAACTAGCACCAGACAGAGACTGATGAGAATCTTCTGCCCTTTTCAGCTGGACAAGCCATCAAAGGAAACAGCTGTTAGCTGTTTCTGGTTCCTCCAGAAGGCCTTGCATATTTAGCTGTGGTTTGCATGTAAGGGTTAGCCTGTATTATGTCTGCCAGTAGCCTTGTTGCAACATCCATCTCTCTCTTTTGCCAGATATGCAGTAGAATTCCATACTTCCTATGATAGGTTCTGTTTCCATGATTTGGTTTTTCATTTTGTAATTTAAGTTAGTATCCCATCATCTGGGGTTTTGTTAGGCTTTTACTAATCATTCTGGTTTTGTTTGTGTCTTACTTGTTCTCAAAAATCATGTTTAGACCAAAAAGGTCTTAATTTTTTGGGGACTGTACAGGAAACCCGAAAAAGTTGGTTATTGAAATATAATACTAATTTCAAAACTATCCTAGGTAATTTACTCTTTTACTTCCTATTGTTTATGATTTTGGAATACTTTGCATTTTCTTTTTAATAGGCTTATTGCTGTGTAGATTTTTTTTGTCTTGTGAACATTATGAATAATCTTATGGTAAATTTGTTTTTTTTTTTTTTTTGCAGTCCAAGGCAGTTGGCTTATTAGATGTAGATGTGTATGGTCCTTCCATTCCAAAGATGATGAACCTGAAAGGAAATCCAGAATTATCACCAAGTAAGTACAGAAGAGATAAATAGTATCCACTGAGTGCCAGGCACTTGTCAGTCAGTATGTGTGTTTTATGTGTCTTGTCATGTTCAGAAATAATGTTGGCATCAGTCTGTCTGGGTTTGAATATCAGTTCTGTCACTGACCAACTATGTGGCTCTGAGGAATCTATCCCATTTTGTTGTGCCTTGGCCCTTTACACATTCAGTAGGGTCACAGTTGTTGTGAGGAATAATAAATATGGCGCATTTAGCATAGTTCATAGCACTAGTACATGATAAAAATATTAAACACCCATTGCTTACACTATATATGTACATGTATGAGAATATTTGAGTAGAAATATATTTGTATTAAATGAAAGTTATTGTAGAGTGTAGTTTTCCCTGCCAGTTGCCTGGGCCCTGCTGCGCTGTCTGAACCCCCAAATAACACACTGAACACCATATTAATTATAAAGCTGTTGGCTGTTTTGTTGGTTTCTTACTGGCTATCTCTGCCTTAAGTATTTAACCCATAATTGTTAATCTTAAGTATTTCTCTTACCAGAGAAAAAGGTCCAGAACGCTTACTCTGACGGTCTACATCATGTCTGACTCTGCCTCTCTTTCCCAGAATCCTCCTTGACTCCTAGTCCCACCTATCTTGCTTCTCTATTAACCAACAGTGCTTTATTCAACAACCAATAAGAGAGACAGATTTACAGAATGACATCTCCCATCATCTCCTCTTTTCTGTCTAAATCAAAAGAAAGGTTTTAACTTTAACGTAGTCAAATTATATATAACAGAAAAGTTATAAAGTAAGAACTATAGACAATATTTTGTCCATTAACATTTAGTAAGATTTAAAGAAAGTATTTTTTATCATCTATCCTATCTGTGTGTCTCAAGTCTTATATGTAGCTTATCTTTTATCATAACTAAGGAAAACTATGATTCTAACTATCTGTCTTCAACTCTATCAAAGACCACAGAAGGATAATATATAAACACTAGAATTGACAGAGACATCTTGCTACTCCAACAGTCACCCGAAGTTCCGCTGTAATGTTTGGGCATCCAACTTCAGCTCATAGGACACAATGTGTCTGGAAGTCTTCTCAGCAAAGCAGGAAATTTCAAACTGTCCATCTGCATTGGCAGTCTGTCAGTCATTTTTCTGTGTCCTGCAGAAAGTCTGGCAGATTGTTTCATGAAGCAGGAACTCTGTAGGACTGTGCAAATTCATTAGTCACTTTTCTGTGGGTCCTGCATGTCTAGATTATACAACAACAGTCAAACAGTCTAGGCAAGAGCATTTCTTGCCCAAATGGCTAATCTTGCCATGTTGAAAGCAAACTCCATATCGAGTCTCTTCGATGCCCATCTTCCTCTCAGACGTAATTGGTGTGCTGGGAGCAGACATTTCTCATTGTCAAGAAAAACCCTAAACCATTTTAAATACCATTTTCTGAAGGTCTTTGAAAGGTTTGAAGACTATTTATGTATCTCAAATATATCTCTGTATATCTAGAAAACCTAACTTACCTAACTATAAGTTCTGACTATTATAAGTAACTATCTATAGTCTGTATTTAATTATGCATTATGTTTTAAAAGATCAGAATAAGCACAATACTTAATCAAGAGGAGAAATATACATATCACAAAATTGACCTTGAATTTGTATCAATAAATGAAAAACCATACGAATATAAAGTATTCATTTCCATACCATAATTCCCCTTTTACCTTTCAAAAGAGATTGTTTGTGATCATTAACCAATTATAAGCAACCCCATTCAAATGAAAACAAAGATTTATAAACAATATGAGGATTTGGACGTCGCTCATTCCAAACTGCTTCCTGCTGATAGGGGGCGCTGTCCATACCATGGGGATCATGACAAAACTCAGAAACCTGGCTAAGTCTTTGTTTTTGTAAGATTGCATTATCTTAGCTGTTCTAGATGTTGAAATCACTTGGGCCACTGCTTCTGGAGGTCTTGGTTCATCAAACCACAGAAGCCTGGAAGGAATCCACAGCTTTCCTTTTTCTGTGGAAACACAAATAAAATATCTTTTCCAAAGTAACATATCCTTATACTTAAATTTTGAAGTCAAGGCAGTTTTAAAAGACATAAATTGAATTAATTCGGCAGCATTTATAATCATGTGTACTTTAGCAGTTGTTCCTTCTTTAGCAATCAAAAAACTGAAAAACACAATAGCATACAGTATCCAGACTCTCTGTGTATTTTCCATCTTTACGTGGCTTATTTATTTATCTATTATTATTACTCTATTTCTTATACTTTTATTTATTTTTTCTCTGAGACAGGGTATCTCTCTGGAAATCTACCTGCCTCTGCCTCTGGAGTGCTGGGATTAAAGGCGTGTGCCACCACACCCTTTATTTTTTCCAATGTCTTGTTTCTTTTACTCTCCCAAGTCTACCTATATTTTTCTTTATCTGAATCTGACTTTACTGTAAAACTTTGTTTTTCTGGCCATGTGTCTTTTTTTTTTTTTTTTTTTTTTTTTTTTTGGTTTTACGAGACAGGGTTTCTCTGTATTGTTTTGGAGGCTGTCGGTCCAGCCCGGCTTCAAACTCACAGAGATCCGCCTGCCTCTGCCTCCCGAGTGCTGGGCTTAAAGGCGTGCGCCACCACTGCCCTGCCTGGCTGTGTGTCTTATATAGGCTAAAGAACATTGCTAAAGTGGAAACAGCCGCTGGCTTCCCAACATAGCGCAAGGGAAATGGGAAGCCTTTTAAAGAGGAAGGCTGGTGGTCTCGTGCTCTTGCCAGAAAAGTGTTCCCTCTGGGGCACACAGAAAATTTCCTCCACCTGCCTACTCAGGTTGACAGCCATGCCATGGCATGTAAAGACACAGCATCCAGATTTTACTACGGAAGTGTGGACATTTATTCCATTGATAGCATATTGTACAACTGCAGCATGGTGGGCACTAAGGAATTAATGATTAGATCTCACTTCTGACACCATATGTAGAGTGTAGTTTTCCCTACCAGTTGCCTTGGCCCTGCCGCGCTGTCTGAACCCCCAAATAACACACTGGACAGTATATTAATTATGAAGCTGTGGGCTGTTTCCTTGGTTTCTTACTGGCTATCTCTGACTTAAGTATTTAGCCCATAATTGTTAATCTAAGTATTTCTCTTACTGGAGAAAAGGGTCCAGACCTCTTACTCTGGTAGTCTACATCATGTCTGACTCTGCCTCTCTTTCCCAGAATCCTCCTTGACTCCTAGTCCCACTTATCTTGCGTCCCTATTAGCCAACAGTGCTTTATTCAAAAACCAATAAGAGAGACAGATTTACAGAATGACATCTCCCATCAAGTTATATTTTACTTTTGTCAGTCTTTTAGAGCATTAACTCCTCAAAACAATTATCTGTCACTCTGTGGTTTTAGTGCCTTCGATATAGGATGAAGTAGCTTTTTTAAATAAATCTTAAGTATTTTTACTGTTATTCTTATTACATATTTGTAAGGCTACCAAATATGAAGTCTTAAGTATAGGAATATAGTGATAAAAATGGTAAAAACTGGTTATTAAAAGTGGTTTTATGTGAAATTGTTCTAAATAAAATTGATTTCTTATTATGGTAAAATATAAAATTGAGTAATTTCATTTTGTTTTTTTAGGTCTTTTTTCCATAGCTCTAGAACACAATATATGTACTGATGTTTTTATTAGGTTATTGAGGTTATATTATTATTTTTATTGTAATTAAAGTTGATTAGGTATTATTATTTGAAGGCATCAATTATATAGAATTCTGGATTGTTCTTTATGAGACAGTCTACCTTAGGAATCTTATACTGCAAGCAGCCCCTTATGGAGTTGTTTCCTTGTCTCATGAGATCATGGGGAATGGCTTGTTTTGGTGCAGCACAGTTTGCAAACATGTGACATGAACCATGATGTCTGTGTCGCCAAGGAAGAGTGGTGATGACTTCAGGCACTCTAAATATCTTTAAGGACCAGTGTGAAAACTGACCCACATCACACAGATGTGATGCAAAGTGCAACCCTTTTTTTCTCAAACAATGCTTGAAGTGAACTTCAGTGCACTAGAAATCTTGGAAAGCAAGACAAAACAACAGCCCCAAAATCGTTCTGTGCCAATAGGGTGATCTCGGTTCCCTATTGACAGTGAATTCTTAAACGCTCAACAATAAGGTATGTTTTGAGTTTTACAAGACTTGTTGCCATCATACTAATAGGTCTCCTTTTGAAGTTTCTGAACTTTGTCATGTTACTGAAAATACTGAAGAAAGGTAAAGGCCACATGGCAGAACATAGATGGAGAGAAACAGGTTAAATTGAGGAACAAAAGCTAGTTGGGAACAAGCCTAAGCTAAAGGCCAAGCTTTCATAATTAATGACAAGTCTCCACATCATTATTTTGGGGCTGGGGATCCAAAGATAGTCTGACAAGAAAGCTTGCTACAAATGCTTTCAAGACTGTTCACCACTTTTCTCTCAATATGTCTGTTTTTATGTTGAGGACTTTGAGCCACTTGGACTTGAGTTTTGTGTGGGGTGATAGATACCAATCTATTTGCATTCTTTACATGCAGACATCCATTTTGACCAGCACTATTTTCTGAAGATGCTTTCTTTCTTCCAGTGAGGTTTTCTGGTTTCTTTATCAAAAAATCAGGTGTCCATAGGTGTGTGAGTTTATGTCTGGGTCTTCAATTCGATTCCATTGATCAACATGTCTGATTTTATGCTAACACCATAAGGTTTTTATTACTATAGTTCTGTAGTACAACTTGAAATCAGGGATTGTGATACCTCCAACAGTTCTTTCATTGTGTTTTCCTGCATTTCTTTAAGGAGTTTTCATTTCTTCCTTTAGGACTTCTATCATCTTCATATAGGTGGTTTTAAGGTCTCTTTCTTGTGCTTCAGCTCGGTCAGAATATTCAGGGCCTCCTGTGGTAGGATGGCTTGGGCTCCAGTGAAGGCGTATTTCCCTGGGTGTTATT